CAGCGACCTTGGCACCCTAAGGGTTAAAACAGCGCTCCCGCATCTCCGAATGTCAATAAATTGAATATATATCATAAATGTACACGTTCGATTTATACCGAAATAATCGATAACGTGGCGAAGATTCGTTAAGCACTTCAAAGTGAATTGTATCAATATGATTATCTGGGAGATTGACGGCCTCCTTGGAGTCAGAGTAAGTTCTTGTATGAGGTGATGGGTTTCGTGGTAACTTTTAATTTGGATTAATTATTTGAAATGAAGATGTTAATTATTTGGATGGATGAAAAGAAGAGAATAAATACTTCCATAAACTTGTACGTTTTTTTACGAAAGTGTTGTATTTTCTCGATAGTGTTATTAATGTCCTGTAATAGAGTATTATATATCTGTAATATAGAATGTACTGTTATTGTCAAAATTTACTTACATTTGCTGGAAGTAGTTTCATCGTACGTAATCTAATTTAGGTGTGAATCAATTTATGACTCATGGCGCTATGAAACTTGTGTGCATTACACAATTGTCGGACTGTTGCGACAAATATTTTTAGTACTGTTAATTATCAAATCATTGAAAATAAATACTGGATAACGTATTGGTAACATTATGCTATAATAATAATAAGTACTAATAATACTAATAATTATAGTATATTTGGTAACATTATTAGTTAATGTAACTATTAGTATTACTGGCATTATTGGTATTATTGGTATTATTGGTATTATTAGTAGTATTAGTATTATTAGTATCGTTAGTATTTTTTAGTATTGTTAGTATTATTAGTATTGTTGGTATTATTAGTTTTAGTAGTATTATTAGTATTATTAGTGTTATTAGTGATATTAGTGTTATTAGTGTTATTAGTGTTATTAGTTTTATTCGTGCTATTAATATTATTAATATTATTAGTATTATCAGTATTATTATTAGTTACGGTTTAGTAATGGATTATTAGTTAAAGTTCAGAGCTCCGATTGTATACCTACATAAGCTTAGACCTAACTAACTTAAGAAATAATCGATACCTAAAGAAAGCTCCATAAACATTAGAGGCAGTCCGGCGATGATGAGCATAATCGTGAATGGAATTAGAAAAGCGCCTCCTCCATTCGAGTAGCACAGGTAAGGGAACCGCCAGACATTGCCAAGTCCGACGCTGTACCCCAGAAGGGACAACAGGAAATCGAATTTCCCCGTCCATGTTCCTCGCTCGGGGTGTTCGTCCTCGTCGGCTTGCAACGGCGCTTGGCTGTTTGCCACCGAGTACTTGTCTTCATTCTGCTAAAGAATACAATACGAGTTTTTTTCATTCTGTTCCCTGTTTATGTATAGTTCGATAAAAATGCATTACGTACACGGAATGATTCAATAATTGTTAACCACTAACGATGTACGCACTCCCTCCATTTATGCTGTACTTTTTTTACTCAAATTTCCTTTTTAGGCGGTAAATTATAACACTATTTACGTGGTACTGTCTATACGCGATACCAATTTACGCGATCTGAATTTAGCGACATCGAATAAAATTTACTTTTGCTTTCTGAAATTTTATTATTATTATTTCCTTGTTAAGCTATGTGAAATAAATATGTATTTCCAAAACTTACACCAGCTTCTCCTTGCAATATTTTGTTTCCTTTTTTACTGACAGACTCTATTTACGCGATTTTCATTCACGCAAAACGAATCCATGTGGAATGGATAGTCTGTGTAAATGGAGGGGCAGGTACCTAATGTCATTAATGGCGTTCTACGAATAATTTATTAAAAGTTGCATGGATTAAAATACTGTTTATATCAATGAGAATTCTCTTTTTCCTACAATATCAATGTTGGTTGCGGTTATAAACTAAGTGAAGTCGAAATATCAATAATCTATTAATTCAACTAAAAAGTCGTTAATAGAAAAATGGTTAAAATTATTAATAGAAGAAGGAAAATTATTTTTAATTTTCTATAACGTTGTGTTCCATAATTTGGATGATTTTCTAAGAGTTCTTGAAGCTGGTTTTCAAGCATATTTACGATAGTATTCTTTAACGAGACAACACGAGAAATGATATAAAATGAAACGAACAAACGAAAATGCAGGATTTGAAATCAAATTTTAACACCGGTCATTTATCCTCTGGTTATTACACTTAGTGTTTGTGAATCAATGAAATCGGATAATACAGACCATGTAAAAGAATAAAACGTATAGTAAAATGTGGTTTTCATTAACACTGGGTTTGCAGAACGCGTCAATTTGACGCACATTGAATTTTATAAACAGTATTTGTAAAATGTTTATGTCGATTTTTATTAATTCAATGGCACGAATACGTATCTTCATGTAAACTTTTCAACCCCTAACTTCCGAGGTCTAAACGAACGAAATTGTTCTAGGAAAGATAGAATAAACTGTACAATAAATATCCATAAACCTAGTGTTAAATATAGAAGTTGTCTAAGCATAGTTAATTAGTTAAGTCATTCATTCATTCGTTGAATACTTACGTCCCAGCAGTCTAGGTAGTGACGAATCCTAGGCGAGGACTCCTCCATCCTTCGATCTAGCACCGAATGTATTTGCGAAGTCACTCGTGTTTTCTCCTCTTCATGCTCTGCGAACGTGTAATAGGTCGTACTGGCACGTTTATCAGTGATCCATTAGTGTTTACTCTTGATTCGAAACTCTAGACGAATTGTGAGCTCCGCTGTCTTCCATTTCTTCTGTATTTATGCGCGACTGTCTTTGTTCAGTGTTCATTCTTCGGAGTGTCTCATCCGTCCGTCCCTCTTCTAGAAAAATACACGGTAGGCTAAAAAACTCTCTTTCTTTCCAAACGTTTCAACTTAATAACAAAGTGTGATCGTTTTAAATATACTGCCCGATATCAAAACTTTTTCTTTTCTTTACCCGAAGAAAAAAAGAAACTATTATCAACTTTTTGAAATCGCGGATTGAATGCAAGGTCTTTCCCGGAACGAATTACTAGGACAGATTGCCGGGATAAACGTTCCAACCTGACCACGGCCTATCGGTATTGGTCACTTACGTAACGGTTGTACCGCTAAACAATAACTATTCACGTCCTAATTGCTGTTATCAAGTTCACACCAGATACATAGCCACGCAATAAGGTAGTTACTCCTTCCAATGTTCGCCGCTTTGTAGCTGACAGTCTGGGTCACGCCGTATTTCAACCCCGCTCACTATTTCCATCATTCCCTTTTCTACGCGCTAATTGCGAAACACGAACAGCAATAGCTTTCGATTTCATGGAAATATCCCTTATCCCAGAATAATTAAGTATCCCCTCTACAGAGGCAAGATTGATTTAACGTGTCTGCGCCCGTCATGAAGGCTCAACAGATAGAGTTTTAATGGGCGTGGGATTAGGATGAGGCCCAAACAGTCGATCTCATGCAGAAGCCGTAGGTTATCATAAAGTTAGACTTCCAGTGGCGCCGCAGTAGCTTAATTCTTTGAAATCCTGGCCAAAAGTCAAACCATTTTTTCCGTAATTTCAACCCGTTCGCTATAATGGACGAGATATTTAAAGATTAGAGTATTGCCTTTCAGTTATGAATCATCAGGCCATGTTTATTAGCCAATAACAGTCTTTCATGTGCAATCCTCTCAAAGATATACGATCTCAAAGTTTTTAGTTTCCCAACAAGAGAGTTTTTAGACGACATTGAATACATCTTTTTGGTTTCGTATTGAGTATAATTTCTTTTTTTCAACATTGATAACTATTTGTATACTCTAAACTAATAGTACACACTCGTTTCATTATTTTATTACGACTGTCGCCGGATACTGGTCTCTGTAGTATCAGTCATAAAGGTCTACCAGTAGGACTTGTCGCCAGGGCTTTCGCCACTGTCTTCCAGATTTAGAACCCCTGTCCAGGCTAGGGTTAAATACCTCTATGGGACCTGTCACTCTTCGGAGTACATTGGCAACAATTATGGGCTGGTTGCCTGGGCCTCATACCAATCCTACGCCCATGGAGGCTATGTTTGTTGGGTCTTCATGGCGGGTGCAAGTACGTTAAATCATAGAATTATAAATTATTACATTACTCAGCGAGAATTTATCGACGATTCCATCAGTGCGACAGGGAAACTGCAATGAGTTATAAATAAATTCGATTAAATTTCCAAAAAGGCGAAAGCATTAAAGTTTCATGTGGATTTTAAGGTAAGACTCCCACTGGTCTGATTTATGCGACTTTATTCCACTTGGAAATTTGTCGACTATTGTCTTTTAACACTTACTCAACATGTCTCTGAAATAAATATATCAATGACTATGCAATTACTTTGTTCATTAGACGAACAAGTTATATCAATATTTGTGAAATTCATATTATATGTAAAATTTAATATAAAATTATAAGAAGTTACTTTATTAGAATATTAATGATTTCAATACACTCAGTTTTCTTATTGTATACATATGTTATGTATTATAATTTTACAATATAACACTGGGTAATTATATAAAGTATCATGATTCCGGAAGTGCGTATCTGGGTTACTTTGGCAGCCACGATTCCTTTTCAGGGGTGTGTGAGCTCTGTAACTGACAAGATTCTCGAGCCTGGGGTCGTGTCGAAGTCGAGATCGGTCGAGCTCTCGTGATTGTTTTACTCATCGTAAACCCACACACTCTTAGAAAGAAATCCGTGACTGTCCGAAATTCTACTACGATACTACACCTAACCCTCGATTTACATGGTAGATTGGTTCCCAGAAAGTACCGTGTAAATTGAAATCGTGCAATTCGAGTCCATAATTCACATTGAAAAGAAATATACACGTAATAAATTTAACAAACCCATATGGAACAGTATTATTTATTGTTTTGTAACGTTTTAAATAAAAATTCATTAATCCAACAAGATTGCATATGTAATTCACAAAATAAAACAAAAATTAATGTCATTTTTGCATTTGTTTAATCAGACCGTGTTAAAGTGAAATGCAAGTGGCGTGTAAATCGAAATTGAATGGACTTGAAACGTTCATCTTGCGAATTGCAAAAATCTCTCTGCTAAGAAAACGTTGATGCACAAATAAATTCCAATTTGCTTAACAAATATAAATGTTTTATTGAATAAATAATGCGATACCTTCAATTAACAATGTGTTCGTCATTATTACATTTGATATGTTTAAAGAATTCTACGGCACGAGTTGAGCCCTAGACTCTTGAAAACAATGAATGGTTTCTTACTTACAGTGGAACTTTGCTATCAACTTTTCAACCTGATATTTCGTAGAAGATTGAAGAACACAAAGGGAGGAGGATGATAATCGTCGAACGATGCGATCACGAAAAAAGAACGACGCAATTAGGATTAATCGAAGGCCCGGATAAAGATCGCGGTACGTACACTCGAGCCGAGGATGGGCACTCCAGAGTCTAGAGAGGATCCCGAGAAATTGAATGGGCGCGGGCGCGCGGCGGTCGGAGTTGAGAAATTCGGTCACATTTTGTTCAAAATCACTGTTTTTGTGTCGATGACTGGTGAATGTATTTTACTTCTCAAATGTTCATGGATCCTGGTAATGAAGAAATTAATAAAATTTAAGAAAAATCATAATTGTAATAAACATTGAAAGTTGAACATTTTAAGGACAGCATTTTTCAGTTACTCTCTTATCCAAACGTTTCTTTTATAACTACGCTTGCTAGAATTACTTTGTAATTAATAATGCACTAGAAACAAAGAACAATTCTATGTTCATCTATAACAATGTGGCAAGAGGAGGACGTCCACTCGTGATGAACATTGACGCCTCGGTTTCGACTCATTTTTGGTATTAACTAATTCACGTAAACGAATATCGTAAATGAAATAGAATACGACAAAGTGAGGTATTGGGTGATCTCATAAATAATGCGGTTTTTTATATTTCTTTTATTCTTAAAAATAAAGATAAATAAAACTGTTTTTAATATAAAACATATTTCCTATAAACATATTATCTATAAATTGTCCATCTGTACATTATAATTACTATACAAAAATTTTTTTTATCTTTATTCTTAAACATAAAGGAAATATAAAAAGCCGCATTACTCATGGGATGATCCAAGTCAAATAAGAAGTTGACGCCCATATTCATTCCCCATCGTTATATCTCACTTTGTCGCATTCTGTTTTACATTTGCGATATTCGTTTACGCGAATCAGTCAATAACAAAAGCGTTTATTTCTATATCTATCTCGCTATATTCTTCTCATTATACATATTCTCCGACTTCGTCAAGCTTTGCTCGAATCAATTCCTGAAAAAAGAACGCCATTCTACTCAAAGAGAAGTAACGAAGATCGCAAATGAAACAGAATACAACAAAGTGAGATATAACGATAGGGAATGAATATGGGCGTCAATGTCTTATTTGTATCTCACTTTGTGGTATTCTGTATCATTTTCAATGTTAGTTTACTCGAATCAGCCAATAACAAAAATGAGTAGAAACTGAGGCGTCAATGTTCGTCACGAGTGGACGTCTTCCTCACTGCTATTTCAGTTCGTAGGGGTCGAAACAAACATTGTATGTAGACAGTATGTACATCCACGTTTACTTTGACCCGTTAACTGTGGAATTTAGTTTAAACAATCTCTTGTTTTGCGCGCAATAAAACCAAAAAATAAAGTGTGTACTCGTCAAATGCAGGACAAACGCACCTAGAGTATATTTTAATGAAAACTCAAAGCAAAATAAAGAAAAATTAGATGTTTATCTGAAAAAATAAACAATTCATCGTTAAAAGAGTCAGTATCATTACAAGCTTTAAGATAACGCGTATACTCGTCAAATGCAATTAACTGATTAAACCATAGTAATAGGTAACAGAAAAATAATATTTAACTTGAACCCGAATCGGTTGAATGACATTTATTTTTGTCATCTTCCGTGTGAAATCTTCCTCGCGAGTCTGACACGATTTTGTATGTCAAGAGGTTAACATTAATACGCACATTAGTCAGACCATACTAATATTTTATATGGTTGAAAAATTATTAAAAAAAAATGTCACTAAATTCCTCAATTTCGACCGTTGAGGGGCGGCGCGGTGCGGCGACGAGAGAAAGTAACGAGCGCATCGATCGCGATTAGAATCTGACGGTGAGGACACCGAAGATGGTTAATGTTAACCGTCAGCTGTTGACCTTATCCGAAGCAAGCTTTCGTCTTTAAGCTAGCTTTCTGATGGGAGCGCGCCCCAGCTCCCCGCCAAGTTTCATACTTGTATCTCATTATTTTTAATCGACCCTGTGGAAAACGATTCGTGGCCAGCCTTTGTCCGGGAACATTATTCACGCTCGAACGTCGGGTTGTATTTTCAGAAATTCATCAGCCCCGTTCCATTTGTTTATAAACAAATTTATTAATAAATTGAACGGTAAATTTATATTTACAAACTATCGCCTGGTTTCTAATCGTAGCAGTATAGTTTGATGCGTGTCAAGGAATATTATAAATTTTGGTGGAAGTGTATGGTTGCGTTGGGTAGCTCGCAAATATAGGCAGGAATTTATGATGATTATTATAGAATTTAAAAATACTCGTTTTAGGGGTTATTTGAGGGGTCTCGTAAGCAAAAATTGAACGTTAGTAGAAGCAGTGAAGTGCATGTTCATATGATCTGGTATGTCACTATTCTTTTGAAAAGCGCTTACAGCAACTAATTACGTTAAGAATTGAAGTCCGACAATGGGACTAGATCATAGATGTTTCATAGAAATTTTGATATGGGGAAACATCAAATGTTAATCATATAAGGATATTTGGTATGAAAATGTACATTTTAGATAAAAAAAACAAAAAAATAAACTATCTGACAGAACAACTGAAGGAAGATTATTAGGCTATTTAGAAGAAGCAAAAGCATATTGGATTTGGATTCCTACGTTAAGATGAGTTTTAATAACAAGGAACATAATCTTTATAGATGAAAATCTATATGGCAAAATAAATCCAGAAAACATGTCAAATGATAGTACAGGTATTTTTCAAGAAATTAAAATTAAGATAAGAAATCCTACTATAAGTAAAGATAATCAAAAATTATTATAATAATAGAATGACAATCAAATATAATTGAAGAAATGGGGAGGACTGGAAGCGGGGAGGAGGGTATATAGGGTATTATTGAAAAACTAGAAGAAGGAAGTATCATTGACTCAAAGTTAATATAAATATATTAAACAAAATCGAGGAGGGTAACAGAGTTTGTAAATTAAAAAAGGCTTTATACAGGTTAAAAGAAGCAGTTACAGTCTGGAATTTAAAAATTGACTATACTCTTCAGAAATGAAATCTGAAGGTTTCAATAATGGAACCACGTTTGTACAAAACTATAAACAGAACTTATATAATTATTGTCATTTTGCATGAAGATGATATGTTAATCGTTTATAATAACAGACTTACACTTACTCAGATCAAAAATAGGTTAAAATTCGAATTTTAAATAAAAGATCTAGTATCCTATAGGGATAAAGATAATTCGATCGAATAACAATGTTTATCATCTCCAAAGGAATTAAATTAATAAAATCATAGGCAATTTTAATTTATTAGACACAAAAGTATTCGAAACAGCTTGATCGATGTGTCTTGAACAGCCTATAAAAGGTCGAAACAAAAATCGAACTGCCACACAGAATTAATTGACTCACGTATTGGTAGAAATCAAGCTCGACATAATATACACAGTGATATTTCTTTCTTAATTTGGTTCATGTTTTGCAAAAGATTATTGGCACGCAGAAGAAGTTAAAAGTACAATAAACCTTGCATTAGTTTCTATAAGAAATGCGATGTTAGGTATAGAATACGTGAACGTCGATTGGGGTTACAGTGCCCTTGGCAGAAAATCCTTCACCGGATGTCTTTAAATTAGATAGTTCAACGATTACATGGAAAAATCAAAAACAAAAAACTGATAAATGGCTGAATTAACAACATTATATTTTTAAGGAATTTATTGTTAGAATTACACATAGAGTTAAAATGTATACCGTATAACGATAAGCAACGTATGAAATTGCTCGCAAATAATAGTGTATTTTACGCGCGATGTAAACATATTGACTCACGATACCACTTCTGTGGAGAAACCGTCAACAAATAACAAATTTTTTGACATAAAATATTTGCCAATCGAAGATATGATCTTGGATATAATATTGAAGCCACTTGATGGATTTAAGCATAATTTCTGTATTCAAGATATGGATATTCATCAATATGAATGAATCGTATATATATTTTATTTTACTATGTAAGCAATATACAACTGTGCAAGTGAGTGTATTATGTCAGTAGGGGATGAACTCCGGGAGGTCGGAAACTCTGGTGATCATCTATTGTTCTTTTAGTACGTTATACGTTGACGAAATGTGTAAAAATTGTACGGAATAAAACATCCAAAGCAGTCCTAGAGTGAGAACGTTATTATCTTTTATTATTGTGCAGATCCGTGTGTCGGTACTCGAACATTTTATTGTCTGAACATTTTTTTCTTATTCTCACTCCTGCGAACATCCATTGACAAACAACGAGTTTGTACAATAAATGCGATAAGCATTTGAAAATTCTTATCCAAGCATGTAAAGGGAATATTCCGAAGCGTACAATCGACTCGCCCTGCATATTTCGATGAAAAACTAACTCAATATTAATCAAATCCCTACCAGTTAATCCACATAGGTAACACTTCTGTATGAAGGAATATCCACTTACTGTGTTGTGGACTTTTCCAGTAATCATTGCGAATAACAATTTATAACGCACTGCTATACTACTGTTTTCAATCTTAATGATCGTTGGATTTAAAGATTCTATTTCTGTTTCGATATCACTGACTTGTTCTTTAACAGTATCTGTCGTTTCATGTATAAACTGAAAACGAATCGGTTTAGGAAATCTTGGTGAAGACGGCTGACGATTATGTCACAATACAATTTTCCCATACAAACTAAGATCACTGGAGACTGACTGTACGGGGACAAGAGAAAAAGTAAATATACTCGAGTTAGAAGTTGCCATCGCAGCCCTATCGTAGTATTATACGAAGACCGTTCAATTGATAGGGGGTTAAAGTATTTATGACGTCGCGGTGTTCAGCTCCCGGACGGAGCACACTCGATCACACACCTGATTATGATTTGTAACGCAATCAGGCAGCACGTCGTCGACGAGAATTCGGCTTGGCCGGTGGTCGATTAGCTGTGGCTGGTACCACTGCTCGCGTTGCCATTGGAGAACTAGGTGAACGGCGTACCAAGATCAGAGGCACACACTGTCACTGGTTTTCAGGGTCACAGGTCACGGACTAAAACGAACCACGTTCCGGCTTGACACAGGAGAGCCCGGGACGAGCAGGATTACCGTATTCCGTCGCACACAACCCGAGACTCGGCTGAGCTGTGATGGAAGGGCATCGCGAACAAAGCTGACCGGGGAGAGACAGAGAAATAGAAAGGAAGAGAGAGAGGGAAGCGTAACAGCGTGGACTTGCAGTGAAACGAGACGAGACGAGACGAGACGAGACGAAATGGGATGGACGGACGGATAGGCGGTGGAAACGATCCGTGCCCGGGCAGCTAGCCAGCCAGCCTGCTTACCTATGAAAGAGCTCTGTTTGCAGCACCCCCAGTCGACTCCGTCGAGCCTCGAACTCAACGGATCGATCGATATTGCTGCTCCTGCGAGCTGCATTTTAGCCCTAAATTTTACCCCTAAACTTCGTGTCTCTGTAGGGTCACTTTCTCGGTGCACACGTACTTACACCATACTGTTTCCGGGTTTCGCACTGTGACCATGGTTTACTCGTATCGTTAGCGCGAATGCAAATAATAATTAGGACGAGTGTGGGGACATTAGCTTTCTTGATTTTCGGAGAATGGAGAATCGGATGTAGGTGTTTATTAACAGTAGATTTATGGGCATTTATACCCTGTATTCTACTGATTCTAGAAAAATAGATGTTCGTTAAATATAGATTTTAAAAAATGGAACTTTGGAGACAGAGAAGCAGGATACGTTTTCGTGTGATTACAGCAACCAAAATTCGATGTAAACTTTTATCAAATAATGGTTATAAAACTCAGTATCTGTTAAATTGACGGGTTCCGTGAAGCTAGTATTAAAATATAAATTTGTATGGTGTGATTTGTAGAAATTGGAACCGAATAGAAATTTGTGAATTCTAAGTGGCAGCGGTTTTATCAAAAATAAAATTCCATTTTTGGTAGTGACGTTTTGATTAGATTCTAAATTATATTTGATAATTGATAAACTTTAAATTAGGATCTATAATGAAGTATAAACCATCACGTAGGTTATAAATTCGTAATATTCAGTGAGACGATGTTTGTTCAACACGATTTTTGATCTGCGATATCTAAAGGGTAATCCTTACAAAGTTTCTCTCCCTAAAAACGAATCTAAACACAGAATTGCTCGATCATCCTCAATTTTTAAAAACATGAGCTTTTGTAAAAATGTTCGATGTTGGGAAAAATGGTTAATGCGTGCAAACTAAAAACAATAGAAAATTAAAGTTTGTCGTAAAAAATACAAGAGAGTTTTCTGAATATACAATTATAAACAGTTACAATATTTCGTGCCGTTTAAGACTTGTAAGTGACGATCAAAGTTTAAAAACGGACAGATGCGCGTATCTACTTTGTACGCTCTACTGCTGCATTTTTACGAAAAGTTCGTTGGCTACCACGAATTTGCTACACGGCATCGGATTCCACAGACATTTCTGAAGAAAAAACCACCCGCGGAAAGTGTGAGTACGGTTTTCCATTCGAACAGATTAACACGTTCACTGCCATGCGCATTTTCAGCGTTCTATACAATATTCCTTATTCATTCACAAAAATAACGAACCTCATTTAAATGCATTAGTTGCAAGTGTAAAATAAGCAATTTCATTTCAATTTTCAATTCATTTTTCTTTATAATGAGATATATTTAACCCTCTCGTCCCGAATGGTACATATAAGTACCACGAACATTTTAAATTACTGGAAAACTAAAAAACGCCTAGATAAAGGAAAATACCATACGATAATCTCTGCTTATGGCTGACAGCTTAAATACGAATCAACTGCCAGTACATGTTTGATTAGTGCGCAGCTGTACATTTTTTTTTCACAAAATTCACATTAAAAAAATACATATCCAGAGACGAAAGAGTTAAAACACAACAAGGTTACTCGTGTTGGCGATCTCCAACACTTTCCTAACTACGAGTATCGTGATTGGCAGCGAATGTGTTAAGAAAATATCCGTCAACAACGCGTGCAAATACAACGCTTCGCTTTCATTTTCTGAATGGTCGAAATGGAACAAGTCCCGCCCATTGTCGCACGCATTTTCGGTTCTAGCGTGCGATTTGCCGAAACAGTCACACACACTAACCGATCAAGTGAACGAAGCACACAGTATACAATCCCTCTTGCCCCTGTATCGTCCCCGGGTTCTTCTCCTGAGCCGCACGGAATACGCGTAATTAACGTTTGCACCGTGATCACTTTTTCTACGTGCACGCTGTACAGTATTCTCGAGATTATGGTCCGTTTTACTCTGAAAGAAGGACATTCAGAGGCGGACCCGACGTTCTGCGGTGTCGCCGCGAACTTGCGCGTCGTCGACTAATCAATGGCGATCTGCGTGCGTGATCCTGATCCCACTGCCCGTGTTCTTAGCCAATATCTTTCGACTCCCTATCTTTGAGTCCTTATGAACGTTCTTTCTTCGTTGCACATGTATTGGTATACTTTTTTGCCCTTTTGGTCCTAATTCGACTGTTTCTGTGGCAACGAGGTAATATGTCGGTGTATACTGGGCAACCCGGAAGTCACGCGACGCACCTAATGAATGGCGGTTGGCGAGCCGTAAAATTCGGGCACTCTTACACTATGAATGAAAGGAAACGCGTGTCTCTGAATGCAGAACAATATTTATATTTATTGTGTATTAGGGTAGACCAGGGTGAATCGGATCAAAATCAGAGTCCACATTTGTTGCGCCGCGAATTGTATGTTCCATTTGTTGTTTCTTATTTGCAAAAGGAAGATTTAAGCATTCAGTTTTTATTTCTATTAGTAATGTTTTAACGTTCTTATTTTGTTATATTTTCTTTAGACTCTCCTCGGTTTACTCTGTGCGTGTCAAATAAGAATAGTGAAAGGAACGCAGGTGAAATTGGTCATTTTTCATCTGTTCCCATTTCATTTTCGATACTGATGTGCTGTTCGTCAATACGGTTACAGGTATTGTCTACCACGTGAAAACTAGCGGGACGGTACAGGGGTAAGAGGAATTTCTCGCGATGTGTTTTGTTTGTAGTTTCCATTCGTTACGTGTAACCGTCTCGACGAATAGCAAATTAGTAGTGGAAAAAGATGAGAAAGGATGAAAACTGACCAATTAGATCTACTACCGCTGTCACTACTGTAGTAGTGGTAGCAAAAGTTTTTTACGAGTATCTCAGAAACTGAAAGTGTAATTTCTATAACATTTGTCAGTTTTACGAAAATCTGTGTTGCAATTGGAATTCTACAGTATTACCTTAACCCCCTACCTTATGATTTATTTCTTAATTATGATCGATATAATAATGATTTATTAGAAAAAGAACAAATTTTGATACTTATTCTATGTCTACTTTCATTTAAAAGGTTAACGACTGATAATAGGAAGGTAATATTTAATATATATTAAAACAAAAATAAATAACATGCAGATTTGTCAAATACAGTTTAAAATTTTCATCACGAGCCTGACACGATATTGTAGGTGAAGGGACTAAAGTTTGTTATAAAACATAATATTAATAAACCAAAAATGTTAATGAACATTTGGAAGATAAGGAAGCATATTTCTTTACTACTTTATTCTGTGGTTAAAAACAAATGCTAATAGCTTTGAAATGAAAACGTAGTGAACTTACGTGTCAAATTATTAGTTTCATGTGACTGGGACAGACGTTCCAAGGGATTCTCTTTTGACCATGTTACGTTGAAATTTCATGGCGATGTTCTTTTACGATTTCGTTCTACATGGCCGCTCACCTATGAAAACCGTTGTCGCTGCCTACGCGTTTCGCTCGAAATAGACAAATCGGAAAATAGAAAAATTGATTGTATGCTGAGGTTACACCGTATGTAGATCAATATACATAATCAGAAAGCGGCAATGGGGTTTCGGGGATCGTATAATAACCGGGACGGTCCATAGTCACTAACAATGATATTAATGATATTGTATAATTTGCAATTTAACCCATTAACAGTCAAGCCCGTGACATGTACAAGTACGACGAATTCACGAAAAGCAATATTGAACTTTATTAAGTTTCTTAAATTCAGGACTACGATTTAATTTTTCTATACAACTGAAAGAGCAAACAACAGAAGACAACAACGTCATGTTCATAAGCAATTAGGAACAAGATTAATACTTGATTTAAAGTTAACGAATAATTCTGTTTACCGAGAAAATTTCACTCTTAAGGGGTTATTACACTGATTCGAGAACGCTGGCGTGTATAAAATAAGTATAGGATTTCATTTCCAATGGAAATAATCTCAGTTTTTTTTCAAGTAATCAAAATATCTTTGAAAACACCGTAGAAAATAATCTGAACTCGAAGTAGGCACGTGGTAGAAAAAATTTAATACCCAAAGCTGAGCTTGATAAAGAGGATTTTAGATTCATTATTCTGATGAAGACCGTTCTTAACGGGTACATTTTACAATAATGTATAGCTACGCTTAATGAAATGTACACGTAATCTGTAAAATGTACGAAACTCATTGCATTTATTTACAGAAAATTCGAAGTTTTTAGTTTACATGAGAGAAGATTTCGAGTTAAAAATGCTTGATAGAAAAAATCCTTTGCTCGTCGTGGGAACATTATTCTTATGCAAATGGTAAGAAAATACCTTCACACATGTAAAGAACCTGACCTTCGAATAACCTTCAAATGATATTGATGTCCAAATATTTTAATTTCAACTTAAAAATTTGTTATACGACAAATAGTTTTTGCATCATCACAATTCAAAAAGATACTTAGGTGACCTCGATTAAACCCTGTATACACTCTGATATACCCGTCTCGCACAATTTTAAAAATTTTCTTCGAGTACATTTGGTATACTCTAAATTATTCGTTTTAGAAAATATTAATTTCATTTGTACACCAAATGTTTTTAGAATGTTCCAATCGTTTCCATTTATATAAACTGTCATTCACATTGCATATCTATGCATGGATTCGATTCCCTTCATTCTAACATTATACAAAATTTATTGAAATTAAGACGACCATACTGTTTCAGAAAATAGCAAATCGATATTCTTTATATAGTCCTTTACAATGTACGTAGATACCATTGTTCATACTCTGCATTGTTTCACGGTACAAATTCACAATGAAGAGAAGAATATGTTCCATTGGAGTTCAATAATTTCCGTTTCACTACCGGTCCATATAATAAAACACGTACGAAATTTGTCAGCTAATCGTCGATCAATACAAGAACATCTTGACTGTGACTATCGAAATTTGTTAAATAAAACTTCAATGTTAATTTGTTAAATGGTAGTGTTCACAAATATATACTCTCCACGAGTTTCTCGATGTTCGCTGAAACGATCGCAGATTCTCAATTTAAAATCCATCAGCCTTGCGTGTGAAACATGGTTTCACCGTTTCGGGTCGGGTGTTAAATATTTAATCGATACGTCAAGGTCGTAAGTTCATTTGGAAACTCCATTATTTCGTGATCGGAAACCAATAGTCGTCGGAAATTTTCAGATTACGATTAGAGGCAACCAATATTTCCAAGTCTTTACATGTGAAAGGCTACGTGCTGTTCGTTTTCCGTGGGCGAAATCAACTGTAACCCGGCACGGGGTAGGATGATGTGCCCGGAACTATACATCACACAGGATTTTCCAAGATACTACTGTTATCGTGCGTGGCATGCCAGGAATTTTACCCATCCACCCAGATTTCGTGACGGAAACGCTGACGTCATAATCTCGACGATATAGGAATACGTCGCTCCTGTTTGATCTCCGTACCATTTATCCAATCGTCGCTCAATGTGGAACATTATACTGTTTTGTAAGCCTCTATTACCAAGAGAATTTCAAACAGAGATTGGAAAAATTTCGCAAATAAATGTTTGAAACTGTTGTATTGAAACAGTTCTATGTCACCTTAAAACTTGAAACGGTACTAGTTTTTTCAACGACGGATTAGTTATTTTTTCAGATATACATGAATTCTTGTTCGTTTTGCTCTAGTTTTTCCTCAATGTATATTATAAGTACATTTGTGCTGCGTTTAACGAGTATATATGTCATTATTTGATTTTATTGAGCGCACAGTAAGATATTTTCGAAACTAAATTCCACACTTAACGGGTTAACAATAAACAGAAAAATTCTGTTTGATTTCATAAATTATTAATAGTAATGTAAATCTAACAAGCACAGATGCAAAGTGAATCGTGCAGCAAAGGATTAACGAGGTATAATTGCCAGACATATGAATTAAATTCAGTTTTTTACGATTTCGACCGACTGTAAAACGTTTTATTTGGGTGATAATCTTATTATTGCTCGATTTTGTTGCGTGCACAATGAGAGATTTCTGAAACAAAATACCATAGATAAGTGGTTAACTCTTCAGAATCGATATTATATCAGTGCTACAATTGTCATTTTTCGATTCCTAGTAATTTATTAAGTATATCGATTCTGAGCTATATCGGTTTCGGTTCCGGTTCTTGAGAACCAATATTATATCAGTGTTATAATTATTATTACTAATAACAGTTATAGCACTATTTCGATTCTCTATAACTGTTTCAGGAATTAGAATCGATATCATAATAGTTTTCAACTCCTAACTTCAAACCTTGCAATTATTTAAGAGAACTATTTTATAACGTACAGGGTGGTTCTAAATTAGATGTGACCACCAAAGTGTGATTCTACACTTTCAATTTCATGGGAAAGAATGTAAGGAAGTGTCCATAAACTTCACTCTAGTCTCGAAAAATAGGGTTAAAGTTTTTTATCACTGCATCGTATTCTATTTATCCCACAAGAGTAGTCTAAAAGGAAAAAATTGCTGCCGAAGTTCCCATGTGACAGTAAAGGATCACGGTATCCAATGTCCTTTTCTGGTACACGAATAACGATCATATAGGTAAGGTAGCGAGTGCAATGACTGTGTTCTGTTACGGTACAAAATGATGAAGTATGTCGCAATTTGAACAGGGCGAAATCCTATGGTGTCGAGTCCAGTAACACATTGTGTGATTATATACATTGTATATAATTAATTACATATAGTATACAATTGTAAATTATTAAACTTTAAACCAGAGTGAAATTATGTAAAACAGTGAACTAATACTGCATTATGAATAAATTGTACAATAAATTCGGCAAGCTAGGAAATAATGCTGCGTTTACTGGACTCAATTGTATTCTCTATGTGCAAACGGTTTATGCACGAAACAATGTGCAATTCAAGCGTTAAGATTTTTAATGTAAATATGTTACTAAAAAAACGTCGAAGTTGCTAATGAGCATCAGCGTGCACTGTAATTAGGTTGCTTTTACTTAATACTGCTTGTGAGTAGGTCATACAAATAAAGTTTTTATTTAATTCTTGTCATTCACATACATATATATTAGAAAACGTTTTGCGTTAACCCCTTACCCTTCGATTTATTTCTCAACTATGATCGATACAATCTGTTTACCATGGATAATTTATTAAAAAAAAAGAAAAATTGTAGGCATATACTATGTTTATG